TCTTTTAACACTTTAGGATGCCTTATCACCGAGTTTCATTTGTATAATTAAATCGTACAATATTACGGAGGAAAATTAATTTTTTAGCGAATGCTGATTTCAAATTATCAAGAATCGTTATTACGACGCCGATCGTCCGTAAATAAAGCTCTCCGTGAAACGTGATACTGGATAACTTCTGTTACGGAGAAACAGAGACGCGTCGGAGATCGGACTTGGCCGGAACCGCGAGGCCTTCACCATTAGGGTGCCCGCCGATGCCATTAGCGCCGCTCTGAGTGATAGACGCCAACATTAGCCGTCCGACGACTCGTAACTTTCGCGGCTATCCGCGGCTATTATCCCGCGAGAAGAGCTCCTCCGGATCGGGTCCGATCTCGGCTGCGCCGTCAGCTCCGGAGCTCTTTGCCGAAGGTTCGCCTTTCAGGTTTGCCTTTAACGGGCACCCCCGCGGTCTCTTCTGCATCGCCGCCGCGCCGCCGCCGTCGACGAGGACGACGACGACGAGGAGAAGAAGCGAGGAGAGCCGCGGCGAAACGACAGAAGATTCCACGGCTGCCAAAGGCAGGCGACGAGCACGAGGCTCACGAAGGAATCCACGACTATCGGAAGCGATCGCCGAATGCACGGGCAATAATTTACTCCTCCTCCCTCCCGGGGTCTTCCTCCACCCTCGTCGCGGTCGGTTGGCCGGTCGTCGTGTCTTCTCGCGTCTTCCTTCCAAGTTCTCGCGGAACATCGCGCCGCTGCGACTGCTGTGGGAAGAATATCGGGTCCGTTAGGCCCGTTTCACAGGTCGCGGAATTTTCTCCTCCGGTAAGTGCTGGATGGAGAGAAACGAGGCGAGAGTAACGCCGAGATATACGGCGTGTTTAGTCGCCACAAACATCATGCCTACTTAATTTAATCCTCTCTTTAAATAATCGCGGATTTTAGACTATTCCCGTTCTGTTACTTGGCACAATGTAAACCCTCTTTCGATTTTTCAGATTTTATCTGTTTCTATTTCTACCACGATTTCTACCTGGAAATTTCTCAATTTTCACTAATTTTCAATGTGTAGAAATAGCAAGTGACAGTTCCTTAAATAAAAAACTTTAAATAAATAATTGACGCTCTATAAATAAAAGTTTTATATTAATTAAGCGTAGTTATTTAAAAGTGTCCCTATGATTGAGATATAAGTGATTATAGGAAGCGCCTGAGAGATCTCGATTTAATCGCGAGATCTCGAGGATCTTTAAGGTCTATAGACAAATAATTCTATATTCTATTCTGCAGCATAATAAACGCTTATTGCATCTATTACTGTTTAGCCTGAATAAATATAAATACTTTTACTTCGCGCGGCGCGCAGATACAACCGCGCGTGTCAAAGTCTGTGACAAACAATTCGCGATTACTGGCGGCCGCATTAATCAGCCGTATATCGCCCGATCGAAAATAATTTAAGATCTATTGTACCCGTTTCGCATTGCGCTATCTGATAAAAATCTGCTTCGCATGAAGCAGGTCTTAATGCTAACCCGCGCGCAGAGCTGCAGGAGAGAATAGCAGTAAAGGCATTGTTAGTAGTGCGCGTCCCGTTATTTTGTTGCAGTTGACAGCGAATAGCCAAAGCACAAGCGAGAATGCCCTACGGCGATGACTATCGATTTCACGGAAAAACCACGCGCTTTTATTCACCGATTAAATAGACATTTCATTCACCATTGACGGTTAAACAGCCACGGCGTACGCGCGGCTTTTAAACATTCGCCAACCATCGGACTCTTGGTAGTATAATTTATTTACGATTCATACCATTTCATGCTGTTTAATTTTATAGCCGAGTCACCGGCAAATATTAGATTTTCTCCCTCTTAGATTTAATACTAAGCACTCGACATTCCCATAAAAAACACATTGGTTTCAAAACGCAGACAAACATCGTCAGTCATTGAAAGAATAAGAATGCTAATATAAATAATATAATATTATAATTAAAAAGTGAAATCTCAGAATATAGTCGCTTGAAATGGTTTCGTTTTCCAGCAATATATAAAAATCGTGATCGGCGTAGTTACGTTAATGTATGTTAAACACGCGCGACTTGCGTTATACGTTGCGGTAAAAGCTACATTCCGGCAAAGAGCGAAGAGCGAGTTAAAATTTAGACGTCAGAGTGGCGATCGCGTTCCGTACGAGTCGGAAGGGATTCGTGGAATGATCGCATGCGAGCTCGCGCCCGCGACTATAAATATTTTGCAGCGGCGCGACACGACGCGACGCGACGTGGCCGCGCTCTTGCGCGGTTACCGGTTTATCCTCGTCGTAATATCGTATCGCGAACAGCAGCCGGTGGAGGAGAAGGACCGGTATCGAGATTAGTTCCGATTGCACCGCCGCGAGACGGAGAGTTATAGGAAGGGCTCTCTCTCCCCGGCTCTGCGCCCGCCGACTCTCTCGGCCAGGCATCGATCCCGGGCTACCGACTGTTCCCCTGCCCGTTAATGAGTCATGTTTAATTGGCGTGGGAAGCCCGCGGCGGCTTACGTCCGCGTAACGGAATTGAACCGTACCCGATGCAACCGGTGCCGCGCGCGAATGCACCCAGGCACTAATGTCCCGTCCGTCCCTCCCCCCTTCGTCACCCCGCGAGAGATGCATCGGCCAGCAGCCGGTCGCGCGATTCTCCCTGGAGACACACACGAGGATCCGGCCAATTCGCCATCCTCCGACGAGAATAATAAGTATAATAAAGGTAACGTGAAATAACGTTTTTTTTTGCACGTCGCGCAAAATTATGTGCTACGAGATGACGTGTTGTTATTATAGTTAACGAGTAATTGTAAATCGAGTAAATGCTTTCTAAAGTACGGGATTCCGTGACCAATCGCCGACCGGACTTGCAAAAACGCGCCATCAAATTGTGATTTCACGTTGCTTGCGCGTGATTTGACGCGTGCCAGCCGCGAGGCGCATCGACACCGGAAATATTGTCGTAACAGATGGTACGCGTCGCGAGATCGGCTCCGGACATTTGCGCGGCCCCAGGCGGGATTAAAATTCCCCCCCCCTTCCCTCGTGTACTCTTTACGATGATTTTTCTCAATAACTCTTCAGTTTTTGTATTAATGAGATCAACAAAGAGATAATTCATCTAATATTCTAATACACGTATTTATACATAAGTTCAAAATATTTCTATATCTGTTTAATTCATGACAACGAATTATTGTATAGCTCTAACTTTCACACCACTTTTTTGTTACCTTCAAATTAACCGTATAAAATTACTGTAACCATCTGCACAATTCTGAGATACCCGTAGCTCCCAATTTGAAATCAATATGCATTGTAGGACTTGATGCGACGAACGACGTTCGTCGACCATGTCCTTCAATGACGTATTGCCATCTCTTAGCGACTATGACAGCTGGATCGCGCAAAACGCGACTGGAGGATCTTGAATACGTTCCCCAGAGCGTGCCAGCGATTCTCTATTTTCGTTTCGTGAAAGGATCCACGATATTTCATGTCACGGACACGAGCGAGAAAGCGTTTTATTACCACGGCTCGCGTATTGCTTCATAGAACGGTGGCGCGTACGTACTACGTTGCCCTAACGACGAGCTATACGCGAACACTTGCGGTAGTTGAGGATAGAATCGAAACCAGATCGCGGCGGTCGCCTAATATCCGTGTAATTGGAATTATACACAAATTTACGAGCACACGCTATGCGGAGTAAAATACCGTAAAAAAACACCGCCGATCGAAAACTTACACTCGTTTTGAAGTCAAATTATTGATAGCGATTACGAATATTTAAGTAAGTTTGTATTACATTTAAGATATGTGTGAGTTCTAAGAAATAAAAAACTTTTAGTTAATAGGAAATATTTTTAGAACTTTAAATGTACAAAATTGCGTTAAAACAAAAAGCGTGATCGTCTCATTTTATAATAAGCATCTAATTTTCTAATGCAACAATCTTATTACGCGTCATTACCATAAATTATACAATTTATAGTAAATATTTGTACAGTCTTTCATTCCTCTCATAAATTACAGATATAGACATTTCAGACTTTCAATCAGTAGCTTTTCAGAGACAATTCAAATCGCAGGATCCCCTTTTGTCGCCAGGATTCGCGCATTTGCGAGCCGCCGATTGCGTCGTTAGAGCGTAAAGGGAAATGAGTATCTACAAGCGTACTCGCGAGAGGTGGCGGCAATACACGTTCCTGTTCCCTCGTGCGGCGTAATGTACATCGCGAATGCCAACACGAGTCACACCCATCATAGAGAGCCTGTGGGTGGCGCCATGTATTCGCGAATAAGTCGTACGACCGGCGTCCTACGACGGTCCACGAGGTGCTTCGCGAAGCGCTCGGAGCGACGAAGCACTCGTTATTATACGTGCACCGTCCGACCGAGGCGAGATTTTATCGGCATGAATAATCGCGCGGAAATTTTAACGTCCGTTAAGAGCAACGACACCTGATCGCGCGAGGATGACGTGTACCTCGCGGATAACTAACTGTACGCAAGTCCCTCTGTTCTCGGATATATTTGCCATACGGCGTGATGTATCGAGAAAAAAATGCTCAATCAATCGTCATCAGGCTGTTTCGAATCTGGGGATCTTGATCGATTGGACTTAACATCGCATACTAAAAAATCTACATATCTATGTATGTACATAATTAATTCTTTTATGTAATTTTTTTGTGAACCTGTATTAACTGATAATCTTTTGGTAAATGCAATATACACTTATACTAAAATATGAAATTTGATTGCCAAAGACTTTAGAAATAAAGCTAATAATTTTTAAGAACAATACTAGAAGAAAAATGAGAATGTTATATAAATAGAAAGCATCACGCGTAAATAAATATCGTGATGTAATATAAAACGAATTATGCATTCTTGCATCAGCCGGCAAATGTGTCTAATTTCGATGTTTCAGGAACGTCGGAACTGGATTCGGTATAAAATCGGCTTTGACTTACCTCCCTAGACGTCGGTGCCCCCAGAACGCAGGGGCTGTCCGGGCGGCGGGGCGCGCTGGCCCACCGCTTGCTCGAGAGCTCGCTCTCCTCCTGAAACAATAAACGCGACCTGTAATTAGACAAGATGAAGGTAAAGGTGATAGGCGGCGGGGTCTGATGAGCGCTATTATAGCAATCGTAATGGCCGCCTTGGAAACAAAATTGCTCTTTGCAGAAAATTAGCGAGAGGGAAAGAAAGGGACCAAAAGGGGGTGAGGACGGAATAGTCGCGGCATAGGTCGTGGGTAGCCTTAAACACGCGCACAAATCATGAAAAAGGCACGTTGCAATTTATTTAATATCCCACGAAAGCTAGTTGAAGTTTGGAACGTTCCTGGAGCGATTTTTTTTAAATGATTTGTTCCATTTCTCCTTTGGCATAGAGCAACTTCTAAGTGCCACACACAAAATACATACATAAGAGACCGAATCGAAAAAATTAAGGATTTTCATATTTAATTCGTTATCTCAAGGATCAAGCTGAGGATCTTAATAAAACTGAAAGGATCTAAACACTTTTGATCTCCTTTTAAGATGCAACGAGTAATAATCATCACGAATCACGTAATCATCTGCCGAAGATTACCGTATGCGTAACTTCAAATAAAGTATGATACGACATACAAGCGAATGTAGGAACCAGGTTTCGTTTCAACGTACTTCATATGAATGAAGTATATAGCAACCGCAAATTTACGCGCGCTTTCTCTCGTCAATCGACTAGCCGCAAATCGACTCACATTGCAATTACATCCACCGAATATCGCGATGATCAAAACCCGTTAATACTCTCGTGTCCGTCCAGCCTTTAATTTCGACTTCCTTGAATGGAAGTCCATACACACCAGGTGCGACGACGCGGTACTTATTAACGGTAAACATATTGCAGGATGTAAATCAATTGTCAAATTAACAATCGTTTCTCATGATAAGTACGCGATAAAATACCTCTTGCTTCTGCAGAAGTAAGCCATTTAGCATTAATATAAAGAAAGTGACTGATGTCATTATATATTTTTTTTATATAAAATTAAAAAATACCAAGATAATAAGATAACATAGTTAGTTGTATTTTATAAAAATGTAAAAATAGAAAAAAAAAAAGTAAAATCATTCTAATAAAATACATAATTTTTATGTTTATTAAAAGAACAATGAAAATGACGAATAATCAATTGACGTAAATCAGTTGCCAAATTAAAAATTATAAAAGTGTAAAGATAAAAGTAAAAAAAAGAATATACCTCTAAATAAAATCATTCTAATAAAATACATAATTTCTATGTCTATTAAGAACAATGGAGATGGCGAATAATGTTTTAGAATACCTGGAACAATATTTCTTCTCCCACGTACAGCAAGATAAATCAGTGCGGCAATATACAATTTAGAATAGTGCTCTGCGACACGATTAAAGCCTCGCGGCACGAAATGGCAGGACAACGCTAATGGATCAATTATGCGGATAGTCATTCGGAACAAAACGGAGATTCTGAGAGAGAGAGAACTCTCTATCTCCTTCCCTCGGGCCTACCACACAGTGTACGCCAGAATAATTAAAATCACATTTCCGTATAGTATCAACGCAAATTCTCATTATACTGCTTTGACAATGTTTGTTCTGGAACGCTGCTTAATTGACTAAATTTCAATAAATATTATACTGCAAACTTAATGTCTTTGGTACAAGTTTTAAAAGTGTTAAATTATGTATGATCTATTACAAATACGCTTCAATAAATGTATATTGATATAAATGTTTATTGCTGTTAATCAAACAGCTGTTGCGACATAAAAGAATATATAGCTATGGGATAAACCGGTTGAAATAAAACGATGAAACTAACTCAAACTGCAGAATGTTAGTCTGTCGTGTACATACCGAGTACATACGAGTTGCGATAGTATCTGGCGTAATGGCGGTTGATACAATCCGGAACGGTGTTTCGCCGTATTTACGTGAAGGCGACGGGTGTCTTTCGGCGAGTCGGCGCACACGCGAGCGCGGTTATTAAAACGTTAAAACAATTACCGCTCGGCTCGTGACATACACGAGCCGAGGAAAGAGCAAGAAAGAGAGAGGGAGGGAGAGAGACTCAAGAAAGAGGGAGAAAGAGAGAGACAGAGTGAGTTAAAAGCAACGGCGAGGAATAATTGCGCCATCGTTTCTTGCCATCTCAACCGTATGTACGACAAACAGCGACGACACCCGCGACGAGCGAAGGCGACGATGCATTATGGTGCACCTCGGCCGCACCGCTCGCTCTCGCGAAAGGCGAGACCACCCGCGTTCAATGCGACAATGAAACAATCACGAGATACAGATTCGAGCGCGAGGTGATCGACGGTGGGAACACCGCGATCGCGTTATTCGCGCAGTTTTACGTCTTCGACTTTGGCTTGCGCAACGGCTGGCACGTTAATTGGCTGCTTTTTCATAGCGCGATCTACGGAGAGCCTTAATATTTTCTCAGCTAAGATCGGAATACCCGTTGTTTTTCTATAATAAAGATTTTTTTAACATTTTTTATTATCCTCTACTTCAAAAGATCCCTCTATTTCAAGGAATAATCTCTCTCGCATTTTCTTTGTTTCATTTCATGAAGGCATTATTATCATTATTACATTATACAGATTACTTTCTTATTAATTTTATTATTATTATTATCCCGCAAACACAACTATGCTGGATTTACGAGAGACCCGTTCCTGCAAGACAAATTAACTCGTTTCTTCGTCATAAAGTTAGAGTCTATGTGATTTAGAGGCGTAGCTAAAGGGGCAAAAATGGATTGCGTATACCATACGTTATATCGCACCGCAAACACGCCCGCAAAACGCATGATGCGTCATTATCGTCTCCTTATTATTACATATTGCATTATTACAACAAGCGCGCGAGCGCACTACTTCGTCGGGCATTACTTTCGCTAGATTTCTCCTATTTTCCGTAATGCCGCGTGATTGCGTCGCGGAAATTGAAATCGGCGGCGCCTTTGGACACGCCGAACTTATTGAAACGAGCACCGCGCAGAAAAAACCGCGCACTGGTCCAGTCGCGTTGAGAACGAAAGTTCGCGGGAACGGCGCGGCGGCGACGGATTTGCGCTTCCGCGATGGTAACGAGAACGCGTAAAAGCAGTTCACGTATCCCGGCCCTGGTACGACGACCCGCCGGTGTATATAGTTTAATACGAGATCCGACATACCACTTACGCGGCACGTCGCTCGTATTACAATGTCGTTATTTGGATTTGCGTGGGCGCCGCCGTATAAACTCGTTGATAGAAACGTGAAACATCGCGAAGCCAGTTCCGCAGTGTTCTGCACCCAAAAAGGGATACGAGCTAAATACATTCTCGGAGGTCTGCGCGTTCAGCACGTGGACGCAGCACACGTTTCTATATGATGTACTTTATTTAAGACAGGTAACGACGGAAACGTCACGCTTAAGCCGTATATCTTGCTGATGATATAAACCTAATCTTGAAAATCTTATTAGAAAAGACACATTACTCTAAATTATACTCGTACCTTATATAAACCTGAATGGGAGAAAGATTTCAGCTTAAATAAGATTTACCTACATTCTCATTTGAATTTAAATGAAAGGTTCATAGAGCGTGAAATTTTTTTACTTTTTATCATGTATATAAAAATTTAAGTTGCCATTATTTAAAACTTGTTATTTTATATCTGTTATTACGCTGATTAATAAGATATTAAAAAGATTTCTCTCGCGTACAGCGAACCTTCATTGCGTAGGATTCAATTTATCGCGCTTAAGAGTTTGATTTATACGACCAACCCTTGAAATAAATGACGATTTTATTTACATTAAAAGATATGGCCCTTTCTGCATGTATTTATGATATTCGTGACACGAATCCATGTCGCCCACACCTAAAACCAGCTCTGAAATATTCGCCACTCACGTCACGCTCTTCGTAAAGTTCTTCGCTTTGTAACGATAAAAAAGTTCTAATTAACTCGCGGAAAGACCGAGGCAAATTGTGACAACTGATGTCTCGTTCTAATGACGCGATGGATAGAAGATTGTTAAGCAGACAATAAGATTTCTTTCAAACGCAAAACGATTAAAACACATTAATAGGACAAAAAAACATGTGTTTATGCAAATGCAAGTACAATTAACACTGAATCGACAATTACATGCAAATTAGACTCCACTTAAGAGTCATCGGAGAGATGGAAAAGAGGAATTTTTTATTTAATTTACTGCGTGCCAATCTTAACCTTTATGTTGTATTATCAGCTGACTTATGTCCCGATTAGCGTCGAGAATCACGCATTGCACACGCATATGGCACACGCACATCGCGTTCGTTCCCGCTCGTTCCCACGCCGTCTTCCGATCGTTAATAGATTAGAGCTTCGAAAGCTCGAGCATTCTGGCAAGCGTGTTTCCAACGCGCGTCGCCGCGTAATCCCTTTCGCGCGCAGTGTGTGAATTACGCCAATCGGGCGCACCGTAAATTATAACTTTCGGTCATAAAAGCGGAACTATGAAAGTGATTTGCAACGCGGTAAGAAGAGAGAGATATCTTTCCACCTCTCCCATCTGCCCGATTACGGTTTTTCGCGCAAGCTGGACGAAGGGGAGGGAACTCCAGAAATAATGTATGAAATCATCAAAAGGGGAGTGCGAAACTTATGCGAAACCTGTGAGCAAGTCCATTTGCGTCCCTTCTCCATTAACGTTCGGATAGCTCGACTAAAGGGGCTTTTACGTAACGTCCGATATTGGTGGATTATTTATAAGTTCGTATCATTAATCGCGTTCAGTCGCGTTTACGGCGCCGCGTCTGTATTTGCGATTGTAACTTGCTCACTTGATTGAAAAGGCGAATGCGATTAAGTTAGCCGAATCAATCTCACATCGTCGCAAAAAGTTAATTACATGCTTCGCTACGGAGATAAATTCATTTAGTAAATATTTATTAACACTTCATGTAACAGTCCGATTGCGTAATATACTTCTTTATAATCAATTTTTTTTTCCATTAGTTTTGTACGACTTTTTAATATAA